CAGGTACAGTGTTCTGGAGGCGAAGTGCTGGAGTGGTGTGCGAGGCGAAGTCTTGAGTTCGGATAGGGGAGTGTCCCGAACTGCCATGAGGCGGGCCAGTTCGGGTCACTGCTTTGTGTGGCTCGGGGTTAAAGGGAGAGTTCGGGCTCCTCGTAGGGAGTTCGAGCTCTTAGTAGGGAGGTCGGGCTCCTCATAAGGAGTTCGGGCTCCTCGAAGGGAGTTCGGTCTCCTCGAGGGGAGTTCGGACTGCTGGTTTTTTCCCTTTGGTGTTTGCACCCTAGGTACGTTGCTTTAAGTGCCGAGCTACTTGTTTTTTGCCACGTGGCGTGATTGCGAGGTCGGGCCAAATATTCCTTCATCACACACCATCTGGGCCTAGTGCTTTAGAACATGGTTTTCAAAAACCGGATCGAACCAGACGGTCAGATTGGAAAAACTAGGTGACCGGTTCCATATTACCCCAGAAGCGTCGTTTGGCCAAAAACCGTTGATTTGGTCAACAAACCGTTGACCTGGGCAGTCGAACCGTTCGAACCATCCAACAGTTTTTGGCTGTTTTTATTTTTTTATATTTTTTTGTCAGAACAGGCTGTTCATTTGGTTCGAACAGTCAGATCATTCAACCCAGGAACCAGACCCATGAACGGTTTGTTGTCCAATTCGATTTTAAAAACCTTGCTTTAGAAGCACCTACACTAAAGGTACTGGCTTTGATCTCCTCAACATCTAGAAGTCGATAAAGAGGTTAATTTTCTTCAGGTGTAATTACCATAGGTAAACCATTGAAGTGGTGTAGAGAAGGAAACGCTGAAGTGAAAAAATAGTTAAAATAGGAGTTGGGCATTAGTGGAAATTTCAGTTGAGTTCACCATCTAGGTACCATCTTCCCATTTCAACTTATGAATAGAATTCCATTGGCACCAATTGGATAACAAATGCATGAAAATACTCGGGAGGTGTTCTTTTTTAGGATTTTGAGAGGAGGAAAGTTGGTCAATGGAATTTTGGTTTCCATTGACTAAGACTCACATGTTCTTTTTTCAGATTTATGTGTGGATCATGGAATATTTATTTTCCTAGGTATCACTTACCCGAGTAAGTGATACCCATCTCCTAGGTGGGTAAATAACTTTCCCACCTACGGGGAAAGTTGCCAACACTTAAATGGGACAAAAATGCCCCTTTTAATAATGGATTTTTATGGATAAAATAGTAATTGCTTTATTTACATGAGAAATAAAAGAACATGGCTAAATGCACTTACCCGGGTGAATGTTTCCTAGGAAAAACTTACCTAGGTAATTGCATTTACCAACTTATCGAAGAGCGAATGGGCCTTAGGGGGCGTTCCCCTTTTTTTTGATTTTGAGAGGGGGGAAAGTTGGTCAATGGGATTTTGATTCCCATTAACCAAGAAACCCATGTTCCTTTTTCAGATTTATGTGAGGACCAGGGAAAGTTTATTTTCCTAGGTATCACTTACTTCTCCTAGGTGAGTAAATAACTTTTCCACTTGGGGGGAAAGTTGCCAACACTTGAATGGGACAAAATTGTCTTTTTTAATATTGGATTTTTATGGTTAAAATGATCATTGCCTTATTTACATGGGAAATAAAAGAATATGGGTAAATGCACTTACCCGAGTAAATCTTTCTTGGGAAACACTTACCCAGATAAGTGCGTTTACCTGGGTAAATAACTTACCAAAAAGTGAACAGAACCTTGGTGTTTTAGTTTACATCCCTCATCCATGATATACAACCCCATTGTAGCTAGTAGCTTTCTTCTTTGTCAAGGAAAGATTCCAATTGAGAACAAAGTGATTATGATGAAAAGGGGTCACTAGATTGAAGTTATAGTAATTGTTTATCAATGGAACTGATATCTTGCTGAATGTGATAAAAAATACCACCCTTTGAAGCTAACAATAGAACACTTTTCTAGGAATGCACCTGAAGACTGAAGCCGAGTTGTATGAAATAGATTGGGTAGTCTTTGGTCCTCAAACTACCATTCCTCAAATCCCTTAGACATGGCATGAAAGCTCTGACGAAAAAAAGAACGATACAACATGAGAGCAATGCCACTAGCCACAGTAGTAAGGTGATGAACAATTGCATTTGCGAATGGGATCAACTAGCCAAATATTACACCAAATATATCTAGATTCATGGTGTTAGAGAATAAAACCTATTCAAAGACCTTACTTAACAGCTTAAATTTTTAGGTTCAATGGTTCTTTGAGATGGTATCAGAGCCACTTTGACCAAGTGGTTTAGTGTTCGATTCTCATCGCCCCCATTATAATTAATTAAGTTTCAGTTAATGTTCAAAATATTGATACGCCCGATAGTGTTTTATAGGCTTTTCTTTTTATTTTTTCTTTGAAAACCGGTTCAGGGGGGCCAGTTTAAGGCTCCTCCACCCCCTGAACTGGTCAGAACCCTGATACACCCCCTGTAGGGGCATATCGGGAATCCACCGACATGATATGTATCGACTGATACGTATCGATACTTTGAACCTTGGTTTCAGCACAAGGTATGGGTGAACCTGTGCTGTCCACGCTTCAAGCCTAATGGGCTTTCATGTGAGGGGGCATGTTAGAGAATAAAACCTATTCAAGGACATCACTTGACAATTTAAGCTTTCAGGTTGAATGGTTTTCTAAGACATAAAAACCTAGGTCTAGCAATCCACATTCCGAAATAACACCATTGTATAAGATTTCAAGGAATGATAATAGAATGCATTGATTAACTATATCATATTTATAGACTGAGAATTCTATCTCAATTGAAACTACACCTAATCTCTACTTTCTCTCTTATCCTTATCAACACAACCACCCAAACTTCTCTCAATTCCAAACACATTTTGTATCGATTGAGAAAGCTCCCATCCTCCAAATTTCTCATCTGGATTGTAAATGCAATTCAAGTGACCAATAAGACACCAAGGAATCATAGTTCGAGAGCAGCTATGTGCAAGAATAGAGTCAAAAAATTGCCTTCTACCTAACAGCAAAGAGATGCCACTCCATGTTAGTGGCCAATTCAATATCTTGTCTAGAATATAAATGTGAGAGAATGCTTTAATTGCAACTGGAATAGATTTGTCATATCTAGAAATAACTCCACCAATTCAGCTTTGGGACAAAACAATAATATATACATAATATTTTATATTATCATATAATGTATTATGTATTATATTTTATATATTATATATACACAAATATATTTTATTTTATATTAATGTTGATTATTTTATATAAAATATAAAACTTTTAATTTTTAACATATAAATAAATATTCATGAATTAACATGTGTCAACACATGTACCAACACTTAGGTTAAGTCAACTCAATTGTGAGAACTGTCCTCCTAGGCGAGTCCTTATAGATGAAGGCAAGACCTTCATTTTCACTATTGAGAAACACTCGATAGTGAGAATGGAAATAAAGGCCTTACTTTCTTGTATAAAATGATAAGTAAGCCAAGTCAAACTAAGCCTAGGAATTAAATGAGATCAATGCTTTATTTTTTGTGCTACAGGATAAGCCCAAAGCATAGCCAAGCCCAATCTACTTGGGCTTGTGCAATTTTTTTTTCATGTATTATATGTTATTTTATTTAATTAAAAATTTTAAATAATTGAATTTTCATGATGCTACGGGCCCAAAGTCATTAGGCATGAAAAGCCTGTAAGCTCAGCCTGGCTGGCCTAGGATAGGCTGGCCTAGGATAAAGCCTTTATCATTGGTGCCAAACTCGGGCCAAACCATAATCACCCCTGGTGGTAGTCTCTTGGGGAGCATTTTGAATGCTACCAAGAACTGAGGTATATGAATTACTGTTATTGTTTTTTTTTTATTATTGTATGGTAATAATGCCACATGGGCCCATGTGTAGTTCCATGTGCATTACATGTGAACCCATGTGGGTCTTAAAGGAGTGTGATGTGGTAAGTTCCTTGAAAATAAAAATAATAATATGCAAAAACTAATGTTTATATAGTTTTATGAATTATGGGCTAAAAAAATTAATTACTTATTGGAGAAGTGGCTTGTCAAACATTCTCACCCAAATAAATACTTAAAACAAGTATAACTGGTTTGGGAAAGAGGTTGCTAAATAGCAATAAAGGCTTATTTCTCAAACCAAATATAGCCTTACTTCATGGCAATAGGAGCATCATCAAAGCTCCATAGATCAAGGGAGGCCCCACCCACTTCTCATCCTGAATAGGATTCAATGCTGTGACAGGCTGCTGCTCCACTCCACTGTCATAAGAAATTTGGTACAGGATTAGAGGGCAAGTGGATCCCCCTGTAAACTGTAATCTGTAGAGATTCTTTTGCTTTCTCTTGTTTTCACCAGAACTATCTCCTGTTTCAATAAATAATCAAGTAGATGAGCCAAGAAATCGACACATTCAAAAGAATAATCAAGAGAGGTACCAGGCTTACCCTCGTGAAGAAGTATAAGATCATTCTCATACAACCAAGGGCCCTTTTCTTTTACCCGATTACAATCAAAGATAGTTCAAAACTTGGCCAAATACAATGTGGAACTTAAGTCAAGAATTACAGAGGGCTCAAGGCGCCAGGCTTTACAGACCATTTGCTTAAGACTGGCAATCTTCAGTAACTGTTATGTCAACTTTATTTGGGAGGTTAAAGGTAGTCCAGACCTATTAGGCACAGGGAATGAACACACAATAAATATTCTACGCCCATATCAAGTTGATTTTAATCTTTCGGTGTAAAAAAAAACTTCCAAGTGCGTATTTAATGTACTCATAATGTGTGCTTACCTGATCCGAGCTGGGTTAAGCATGATACCAAATCAAGTTCTGATGTTAGTAACTCTCTATCCGTAAGCACCCTCCGGTGTTATCTCCTCTCTATCCCTACTTCGTCCTCACTTCCTTCCTTTCATTGCTGATATCATCATCTTCTCTGGCCACGGTCACCGGACGCAGCTCCACCCATTCTTTCCTTCTGCCGCTACCTCTCCCATTATCTTTTTCTCTATTTCCATATTCTCTCTCTGCTGTCTTTCGCTCAGTCACTCCATGCCTTCTTTTTTCTGCTCCGTTCATCTCCACCGACCAAACTGGTCCTGTTACCATCTCGACCATTCTTTCTCTCTCTCTTGATATATATATAGAAAACTACTTATTCTCCATCCCTCCGATTGCTATTCTCTGCCTCAACTACTTTCCATATCACTGGCACCGTCGCAACTACACGTTCTTCTCCCCCACCGTCTCTCTCCATCTTTCTCCCATATATTCTTATAGGTTGCATAATGCACGTTGCAACTGTCTCCATTTTCCATCACCACCCATCCTTACTATAACCCACCATTTTCTCAATCTACAACCACGCAAACACAGAGTCGTCGTCCCTTGCAACTTCTTCATTTCCACCCTCTGCAAGTCCAGTCCATCGCCGCTTCAATCTCCTCTCGCACACCGAACCGCTATCTTCGTAAAACCATCTTCAACTCCTCACCGCACATTGTTATCTCTCACCGCAACCACCACCGCTGCTGTTCACCACTGCAGTTACACTAGAACACCACTGAACCACCATTGACCCACCACTCTGCTCACCGAACATTAATGATTGAGTCACCTTCCACCAATCAATCAACTACAATGGAGAAGCCAAAAGTGATGAACTAAAGTGTTACCCAATTGTCATCTCTCACTGCAATCATCAATTCCTATATTAAACAACTCTTCTGTTCATTGGTCTGCTAAGTAAGGGACTAAGGGGTTGTTTTTTCACATTGTGTGGGACAACAGGCTGTGGGGCGAAGATGCAAATTCGAATAAAGGATGCCCAGGAGAGGAGCATTTTGCATTAGGTGTTGGTTGAAATATTTGTTTCGAACATCCATTCATGTTTACATGTCTATTCTCTCACATCAATTAATAATGTGTTTTCTACTATATCCATGGTTCAATGTATTGTTATGCTGATTTAAGTTTAGTCAACCGCCAATCCACCATACCTGATAGATGTCCCAAATATTGCACAATTTAAAAGCAGATATATGTTAGATACATTGTGATAGTCTATGTCCATCAGTCTATGTGTATCCGAAGTGTATACGATGACATCAACGATTTTTGAAACTCGGAAGTAAGAGTCAGTTATTAGTATAAAAAATTAAGGAAAAAATACTGCCTGATCCTTATATTATAACCCTAATTATCATTTAGAGAACATCAATTTATTTTGGGGTTGACCCTTCTACCCTTATCTGGACAAAACATATTGTACAATAGTTTACAGTACAATAAAGATTAAACTAAAGGCCATTGGTTTTTCAGATTTTGAAAGAATGGCAATGGGATTTTGATTTCCATTGATTGAGATATCTATATTCTTTTTTTCAAATTTATATGAGGTCAAAGAAAGTTCATTTTCCCTAAGTATCACTTACATACTCATCTCCTAGATGGAATAAGCCTTGGGAAAAGTTATCCATATTGGGATGAACAAAATTACCCCTTTTAATAATGATTTTTTATGATTAAAACAATTATTATATTATTTATCTAAGAAATAAAAAAACACAGATAAATACGGATAAGTATTTTCCAGGAAACATTACACAGGTAAGTAATTTCTCGAAAAATGAACGGAGCGTAAAGAGCTTAATGCACAACAATAGAGATTATTCCTAACACGAAGATCATAAATGCAGAATGCAAACATAAAACACAGGCATATTCTTGATGCTTTAGACTCTGCCCTTTCCATTTGCATCATAATCTGTTGCAAGGACCTGACCATATTGACCTTTAGGATCTTCATCCAGGTAATCGGCTCTGGCATTAAGTGTCAACATTTGGCAAATCAACCAAAAAAGGGATGCGTCAAGGGCCAGAAATGCAGCACCACCAAAGAGACCGGTCTTGGCAGTGGGGCATTCTCCGTCTACGATGTGATGTACATTCCGGGCAATGTGAAGGCCTTCCGTGATTGACGCCCACATCATCATCCCTTCTGCTAGTGCAGATACACCCCTAATTTCGCCAGTGAACACGAACAATTTAGAGAAAATAATCCCACAAAAATATGTATTATACAAATGTTTAACATAAACAACCGTGGCCATAAGGTGACTCATGAACATGGAGAGAAATTGCCTAGTGCATTACACAGACCAATTATATTCTGGTGGACCAAAGATCCATCAATCAGGAAAGCATACTCAAAAAATCAAAGTTTACATCCACAGACAGTCATTTTGAAGAAAAAAATAAATAAATCAGGCTATGGCAGAATCAGTTACGGGCGACAAACATGCATAAGAGATCTTTTCACTTCTATTTTTATTATTTTTTGGCCCCAAACTTTACTCCAGGTATGTAATAAGGGAACTTCTAAATGGTATGAAGAATAGAAATTCATGAGGCCAACGGCATGTAAAATTTGGTAATAAAATAAAGGAAATATTCCCGATGGGTACCCTGTACTTTAGGCTGAGTGCCAATTTAGTACCTGAACTTTAAAACGTGACAATCTAGTATCCGAACTTTCATTTTGCGACATTTTAGTACCCGGTATTAACTCACCATCAGTTAGAAGAATCACGTGATATCAAATGTGGGTTAAATATTTTCAAAATACCAAAACTAACCTTTACGAAAATATACAGACCATTTTACCCATCCTGAAGCACGATCATCATCTCACTGTTCAACTGCTGTATCAATGGTGGCATCAATGACATTCCTCTCTTCCTCTTCCTCGAGCCCAACTTCTCGTTGTCTTCCTCTTCCACACGTCCACCCCCTCCTGCTCCTTCATGCTCACTACTATGGCCCCTTCCACCATTTTCCATAGATTCCTCGTCGTCATCTTTGTCGTCGCAATCCTCCTCTTCACACCGTTTCCAGTCCTCATCTTTGACCCCTCGGTCTCCCCCTTGCTTAAGCCTTTCGGGTTGCTAATAACAGAAAGATCCTCAGACATTGCTGCTGATGATTTGCCGATTCTGCCGCCACCTCAAACGGATGGTGGCCACCGCCAGCTCCACCTCCTAGACCACCACCACCACAGCTCTTGTGGTAGGCGCACATCTCCTTGAAGAAGAGATGCTTAGAATTGAGAAGCTTCCGGACCTCCTCCTTTGTCTTAGGCGAGAGCTGGTCCATTGTGTCCAACAAACTCTAGTTCTCCACAACCTTGCAAGTCGTACCTCTTCCCAGAATATCTGTTAACTCTCTTATACCTCTTGTTTAGGCCATTGAATTTGTTCCCGCACTGCTGCGGAGAAACATAGAAACCTTCTCCATCATGGCCCTGGACACCGATTTCCACTTGCCTTTCTTCTGCAGGAGTCCGCTGGGCTTCTTTTTGCTGGTGTCGGAGGGGTCATTGCCTTCAGAGCCACCATCGTCACCGATGTAGAAGACCACCATGATGAGAAGCCTCACCATGTTGTTCGTCCACTTCAGTCCCTACCACAGAGACATCCTCTTTTCTCCCGTCTGCTCCACCGTCTTCCCCTGTGAATCCCTGCTCCTCCTCGTCACTGAATGCCAGTTGCTGCGGCTTCACTTTGGTGGCATAAGGAAGGTATCCATGCTGCTTCACAGACAAAGACTGCGAGTGATGATCAGCATCTTGACCTGCAAATGACACCATTTGGGGGTGCTGGTGGTGGTGGTGTTGGTGAGGATGGTGCTATTGCTGCACTTGGTGCAGAGGCATCTTTAGCCCAAGCATCCCAGGAGATCATTCCTCCCGCCATACCATTAACCTCCATCAAAGATCAAACCACTCCTACAGAGATAAAACAAAGGAACTCAAGCAACCAACGACAAAAAGCTCTCTCCTTTTTGTTTCTTTTTCTTCGTTTCAAAGGATAATCTGAAAAAATAAAACAGAACCCAGTAACCAAATCTACCTAAAAGACCCGGCAATGGAGGATTGAGAATTTGGGGTATTGAGATATCAACCAGGACAACTCAAGTGCATGAAGAACAACTCTTGGGGGGGTGTTTGTTCTTCAGCTCAAGTGCATTCACTTGACATCACCGGCGTCATGTTGGAGCCAGTTTTCGGAATCTCAGTAACTGCAAGTGTGAACAGAGGTTCCCACTTGCATTGGTTGAAATAGCTGATGGGGTCATTTTTTTGTAATTTCAATAGGGAATTCATGCATTACTCGAAATAGATGAGGGGTATTTTATGCCTTTTTGTCTTCTAACTAATGGTGAGTTAACGCCAGGTACTAAATTGTTGCAAAACGAAAGTTCGGGTACTAGATTGTTGCGTTTTAAAGTTCAGGTACTAAATTGGCACTCGACCTAAAGTACAAGGTACCTATTGGGAATTTTCCCTAAAATAAAATTTATTAAAACGAAAAGAAAAAAGAAAATACAAAGGAGAGTGACCTAGAGTCACTCGAGAGAGGAAAAGAGAGAAACAAAACAACTCCAAGACCAGAAGCCCAGACTAGACACAACCTTGACAAACCATCAAACCCCAAAACCCAAGATAAAAACCAAAACCACAACAACCAAAAACCCTAGCATCTCAAAACAATCTTGACCCCAAAGGCTGCACAATCAAAGAAACACAACATCCCCCCTAGACGACAAACAAAGCTTTCTCTGCAAATCTCGACAAAGCACCCTCAAGAACTGTAATTTAAAAAAAAAAAAAAAAAACTCTGGCATTAAAAACTTCTTGAGGCTTTCTTTATCTTCAAGATCTTCTTGTTTGGTCTAATCCCAAAGAGACTCCCTTTTAGTCTAGCAAAGGCAAGGCCTCTGAGAACAGAATATTTGGGTGTTTTCTCTGCTTTTTAACGTTTCTATTTGCAACAGCATTCTTCTTGAAGACCAAAGAGCAGGAAGGGGCCTCATTAATCCTTTCCAGCTCCAGGACTGTGGTTTTCTCAAAGAATTAGGCATCAATCAAATCTTCAGCTTTTTCACTAATCACTTCTGCCGAATTAAGTGTATTTAAGACAGTTTGGCCTTCCTCAACCAGCAGTGGATGCCTCTGAATATCTCCATGTTTCTCCCTTATAGGCATCACATATTGTTCCTCCAGCTCTTGGAACCTTTTCCTTGTAAAAGATTAACCTCCCAACACCAACAGGCCTAAAGCTTTACCTACATCTGCAGCCACGACCACAATCTTAGATATATTAACAACTTTATCGATGTGATGAGTCTCATCTAAACAAACTTCTTCCTCACTATCCTTGCTCAGACTTCCCACCTCATCGGAAGATAGGGCAACCTCTGGACACTTTTCACCTTCAGTCTTTGTCAAAAGTCTTGTCCTGTAAGCTCTCTTTCTATTGTATACTTTGGGTCCCGAGAAACCCTTGCTTTCATTACTGTTTCTACTCCCTTCCTCTAAACCTTTATCTTCCGAGGAAACAACATCAACCATACCAGAACTAACAGCCTGTTTTGCCCCTTCCTCTAAACCCGTTTCCTCCAGAATAAAACTGTAACAGCCATAACGAACCCAAGTTGCACCCCTCCACTATCCCCTCTTGGTCACAGTTAGAGAGCTTCTCAACAAACTAGTTTGTCTCCACAAACATTGAAGTAGAAGTTCCCATCTCGTTTGGGAGCTTACTTTCTGTCTTCTCACCCTTATCAAACTCAAAAAACAAAAAAGGTGTCAAGATGGCGTACCTCTGAATCAGTAATCTTGCTTTCACAGACGTTGCAACTAATGGATATACAGTCAACGAACTCTTTCTCCACCCCAAAAAATAGATCAAAGTCTTTCTCCTTTCTTTAGAGCGAGAACAGTCCCCAAATCTTCGTGAATCCTCAGAACTTTACTTGTTTTCTCCAAATTCTTCAAGAATCTTTGATTTTCTTGGGTAGGTTCTCGTCGAATCTCCAAATGATCATCACTCTCATAAGATTATCTCGTATCAAAGCATTTGTACTCCCCATTTCCAAAGACGTTCTTTTTGTTCCCCAGCAGGCATCTTCTTCCTTCTTCGGCTACCTCTGAAGCCCTTTTTTTATAAGTAAATAGCAAAAGTTTTATTAAAAGAAAAGAAATTACAGATCAGGCTGATAAGACAGCACCCAAAAACAAAGAAAATAAAAGTGCCTTCAAACAAACTAGATGACAAGCTCCGCATTACATATTTGATATTCCAGAGTCTATCCTAACCCACTCCCAAAATCCTCCTTTCTTTGTCGACTGAATTCAGGAAGAACCAACACCCATTCTACCACTGTTCTGCCCATAGCCGCAACCATCTACTCCATGCTACAAGCCTTGTCTTGAAAAGTCCTGTTCCTTTCCTTACATATGGCATAAACTTCCCTTTTTTTTC